GGGGGGTCATGGCGGTGTGCGCCTGCTCCTTCAACTTCGCCAAAGAGGTCGGCAGCCCGAGCGCCGTCGACCGCACCGACTACGGCACAGCCTCCAGCAGCGTGCGCCCGGGGCTTCGCCCAGCACCACTCGCAACAAACAGCTCTCGCGCGCCGCCCTCTGTGGCGACGCGCAAAACATCAACAACCCTGCTCGCAACATGCGAGAGAGAGATTGTATGTTTGTCAACATGCGTGTCGCGCACTCATTCTCTCTCTCTCATTCATGACCGGTCTCAATGTCCCACCCCCCTGCGCGCGGGCCTTCTAGGCCCGCGGGTAGACAAAGCCTTCCGGATTCTTTTTCCTTCGCGGCAACGCGATGGCGGCAAGGCCTCTTTGCGCGCCCGCCCTCGCCACGCCGAAGACCAACCGACGTCGGACCGCGGTGAGACCGCGCCGCCCCCCGCGCCCGCCCGCGCCCGCAGCGTGAACACATACGCGCGTCCCTCACCACACGGAAACATACGCGCCAGCCGCGCAGCAGCCTCACATGCAGCGCCGACCGCATGCTCGCGCCCTGGGCCGCCGACGACCCGGTCGGGCGGGCTGCGCGGCCGCCGTACACCATCAGGCAGGCGCGCGACCACCCGCAGCACGCCGCAGCCCACCGCGCAGCCCTGCCAGCCAAAGCTGCGCCTCCCAGCTGCACAAACAGGCGCACAACAGAGCACAGCGCACAGCACACGCCGGCGCGCGCGCAGCACACGCAGACGCACGCGCGATTCCAACACGCACACGCGCACAGGCACCAATCAGAATCTTCCCAGGCATTATCCTGACTCCATCCAGGCAGGAGCTGGCTGCACCTCGCGATATCCCGCTCCATCTCGCCTAATCTCGCCCCATCTCGTCTAATCTCGCCTCGCCTCGCCTCATCTCGCCTCATCTCGCCTCATCTCGCCTCATCTCGCCTCATCTCGCCTCATCTCACCTCATCTCGCCTCATTACGCCGCACGACGTGACCCGAGATCGACCCGAGATGGACCCGGGATCGAACCGAGATCGACCCGAGATCGACCCGAGATTGACCCGAGATTGACCCGAGATCGACCCGAGATCGACCCGAGATCGACCCGAGATCGACACGAGATTGACACGAGATCGGCCAGAGATCGACCCAACGAGGCCCCTCTGGGGGGGAGATTGACTCAACAAGGCCCCAAAGCCCCCTCTCTGGGGGACCCCTCCCCCCCCACCCCGAGTGTCCGTGTCCTTCGCGAGTCACCGATGGGGAGCGGGGGGGGGGTGCGAAAAACGAACAGGGGAGGCTGGGGAGGGGGGGGTCCACTCTGAAGACAGCCGACCGCGGAGGGGTTTTGTCCCACAGGGTTTTACCCTCCGCGTGAGGATCGGCGCGGCGAGGGGGTAGGTTCGAATTCGCCGCGCAACATTTCACCCCCACAGGACCCCGCCCACCCCCCCTCATGGTCCCACCACCTAGAACCCCAACCTTGGCTTCGCACCCCCTCCTTGCGCAGTGTCCCCCGCTATGTGTCGCCGTCTTCGGGGCACGCAATCCTGTGCAGTCAGGGCAAGTGGGGGCGAGGCGCAGTCCCATCTCTCCTGTGTACGGGTGGGTTCTGTCCCTAGTCTCGGAGGGGGGCTTGAAGGTAAGAATATTTTATTTTTCTAGGCCCGCGGGTAGTCTCACCCCATCCCCAGGGCCTCCAGGGCTCGCACCTCAACCTCTCACAGACCAGCGCAAAGTCATCGGAGGTATAGTTAGAGGCTGCGCAGGCCTCCCCCGGTATTTTATTGGTCGATACGAGTAGAGCCGCATTATATGAAAACCCCAGAACGGGTCGGACACCGTCCCACCGTCGCCTCGCTACAGACGTCACGCCCCCGCGCGCGGGGTGGCGCGAGAGCGGAGAGGAGGCAGGAGCTGCTGCCGGGGCGCGTCCCGCGCGTGTGTCTGGGCGGCGAGGGCCGGACCAGGGGTGCCCCCCCCCCCCCCCCCGCGGGGTGAAAGCTGTTAAGGGAGGGGCACCTCTCGGCTCAAGCCGCTGAACCAAGCACCCAAATGCATGCGTGGGGGTGCCCGCCGGGCAGTCAGAATACAGAAAAAGGGAAAGGGTGGACAAGCTTTGCTTACCCCTGTCGGGAACTGGGG